CCAAGAGTTTGCTGTTTTTAATGTTACCTCATAAAAATCATTTTCAAATATTTCATCCCATTTATCTGCATTTAGTTGTTTAAGATAATCATCTATTGATTTTTTTGTATTGAAATCGGCCGGAATAAATTCTTTTGCAACTAACAGAGCTTCGCTCACATATCTCTTTATATTTTGTTCAACAATGTCATTCACTTGTTTCATGTGTGATTTTGGTAGTTCATACTGAACATAACGAGATAAAGCTGTTTTAATTTGATGAAATCCATCTGTTAAACGATCGTATTGTCGGAGTTTTACTTTCAGTTGTTCCATTTCTGTTGTTGTCTGAGTTTGTTCTAAAAGAGTCAGTTGTGCTGCTGCTGGATAAATATTTTGTGGAGAGAAACCCATTTTTTTCAATTCTTCAAAAGACTTTGTTAAATGTTCAAAATATTTTGCCGCTGTTTGACATAAATCTAGTTTTGTGATGACGGCAAATGCACGATTTGTAATACCATCATATTTGATTTCGTTCAGTAAACGGATCTGATCGTTTGTTAAACTGGGGTTTTGGCCATTAGTCAAAAAGAAGAAGGCATCCGAATTTTGAACAGCCTTTACACCTGATAGACGATGTTCTTCGATTGGTGAATCACAACCAGGTACATCAAGAATTTCATAATTTTTACCTGTCGAAACGAAAGTGTGGTTCTTTTAACAAGTTCTTATACTAAATATGTAGTGAAGGCTCGGCCACTCTCGCTAGGTTATTTCATCAGTTGGCACAAGATACTCTGAAATGTATAGTCTAAAATTTTTCCTTGACGGACTTAAAAAAAGCGTTTTTACTGAGTTTTAGGGTGTTGTGCCCCGTTTTTGCAAAAACGAAAATTTATGACCGAAGTGTGTGCACAAGTCTGTTACACACCGAAGGTGTGCAATTTAATAACTCGAAAACGTTGTTGTGTTTTGTTAAGTTTCCTTTGAAAAAATATTCTTTTTATAATTTCCATGTGTGTTTAGAGGTCTCAACAAAAACCTTATGAGGAACTCCGCCAGTATGTTAGATTTTCGTACTCTTATATTACTGTTCACTTTCGTTCAAGCGCACGTCGCCAGTGCTTCTTTGGGATACCATTGCACGTATGTGTGAGAATAATTAAAATTGATGGATTTTCCAAAAGTATCGTAACAAAAGTGAACACGTTTTGTGTAACCATAGTACAGATTATTGATCATGGGAAATCTGATAGACAAGCGCTCTTCCTTTATTCTGGTTTCTAATTTCATAAATGAAGCAAATTCTCAGGCGTTTGGATTGTTACATAACCTCGTCATAGAAACCGAATGCTATACGTACTACGGTTTATAGAGCAATTCGTATACCTTCAACATACGAACTGCTGGATAAAGAATTTAAGGAAAGTAGAGAGCAAGACAGAATGAATGTTTATCCCGACCATCTGTTATTAAAAGTTTTTTGAAAATTAAATTTTTTTTCATATATAAAAGTGATTTTGGCTAGAGCTTTTTAGTCGCGCAAACAGTCTTGAACCTTCCCTTTCTAATAGCAGGCAATGGCACAACTACGGTGGCGGAGGTTTTAGGCCACAGCCTAAAGAAATTTTAAAATTTTTTTGATGGGATCGGCCTCTGCCTGAATTCCATCGACGCATACAGGGTTAGATGTAGAATGAACAGGAGAACATTTCTAGGCACTCGGCAGACTTTAGAATTGTTCTCAGAAAAATTGCGTGGTAACCAAAGTACTGCTCCTTTTGATATGTATTATCGATCATACTTTTGAGTGTGTCTCTCTCGGCTTTCTACTTCACTAGAACTATTATATGTCATTTGAAAGCTGTTTTTCTGCGCCATATGTCTGTATATCACATATACGCAAATAGTCGTTCTGAGGCCAAGTATGTTGAGAAATACTTCCGGCTATGGAAAATGATGTTCTACGTGCAAACAGTCTAAGATAATCTATGACACACTGTCTCATCCAGCCACCATAATAAATTTATCATTCGATACAGAATTTCTCGCGCTACAATATCATATATATAAAATAGTGAAAAACGTGTCCTAGCGCACTTTGACATTAGAAATACTTTCTGCAAAGCCATGACAAGTGAGTGACTCGTTCAACGGTGAGCACCCTGTGATCATCGTTTCTCATCTAGTCACTACGCAAGATATATCATTCGATAGAGAATTTCACGAGCTTCAAAATGAGCTATAGATAACTTTCAAAAATATACCCGCGTGGGTCAATAGCTGAAATACTTGGCCGATATAATGATTTTCACCTATCTTACGAGGGAAGGCCACCAACTGTCCCATCGCTTGTCATCTAAAATTTAGTGTATTGAAATTTTTAAAGTCGGAAAACTCGATTTGTTTCGTTAAAACTCCTTTCAGTGAGCCAGACCGTGTTGTCCCAAAAATTCAACAAGCTTATCTTGTAGAGCAACTAATTCTCTACATAATGAACTATTTGACATCGAAAAGAAACCTGTGCAAAGTGTCCAAAAGTGAGTTACAAAAAGCACCACTAGTTTCTTCTCCACTTTAGGCTGAATCCATCCAACCTACCACCATTGCATCTACGTTTGGTGCTAGTCACGAGACCTAGCTCATTTGATAGGGCTCGACGAACTGAATCGAATGGTGAAAACCGCAGGTGTCTAAGTTTCTTAGAAAAAAAGTTCTGGGAATTTTACTCTCACAGGAGGAAGTGCATTTTTCGTCGCTTCCAGCGGATTTGGTCTAACTTGTCAAACGTCTCCTGGTCGCAGTCCTGTCGTAGAGCTGTGAGCCTGGTTTTAAATGAAAGATCGCATCGAACTCTATATACTTCAATGCAGAAAAATTATTCCAGGCCTCTGGGCCTTCAGAGCGTTTTTGAGCGACTCTTGAGAATTTTTCGCAGAGCTTTTCGTAAAAATTTTATAAATCGGTAAGAAAACGTTTCTAACGCTTTAAAATTTGGATTTCTGGATCATTTTCAATGGAGAATCGAATGAGCATGCTTAAAGATAAACTTAGTATAAGGTCCATTTTTCTCTCTGACAAATAGTAACCATACCTGGTAAGTTATTTGTGTAAATCGTTACTTGTTTGACAATATTTAAATGTAATTCTGTTGCAATGTATGTATGTAAATTGTCAATTATGCGTTGACGGTCAGTTATATCATCACTCTGTTTAGTCAAACATTCTTCCTGATATGAACCATTCGTAAAACATTCTTTTGATAGCGTTAACTCTTGTCTTGCTTGCTCAACCGACTTCTTTCGTTGCTGAAATTGTTGAGCTGATTCATCGGCTTTTTTTGCCATTGTTGCATATAATCTTTTGAATTCTTCATCGTTATAATATTCAATCAAAGCAAATACATTTTCTTTTAAGGGCACTATTGGCTTTATTATAGTTTTTATTTGTGTACAACGTGTAATAGCATCGGGCAGAAATTTATATCCTAAGAGTGCATTGATAAATGTGGATTTGCCACATTTTTCTAAGCCAAATACGCATACTGTATGAAACTCTTTTTGATTCAATTGCTTTAAATGTAATAAACGTTGTTTTGTGTTGGATAAATGACATGGTGATTGCTTGTATTCTTCTTGCTCTGCTCCTGTTATTACATTGTTACTGCTGTACTTATAGTCGTGGACTGATTCTAAAAGCGATATTATTTCTAATAGTTGGTCGATGAACGCATTTAACTTTGTTCGCTTTTCTTCTTGTGCATCATCGTTGTTGTTATTGAACAAATTATTTAATTCATTCAAATTCGCGGTTGATAATGTAGCTTGCACATCAGTTTGCAATTTTTCATAATTTGACAAAATTAGTTTCATCTTACTATTGTTAGCGTCTGTTTTTGAATTGGCCAGTTCATTGTTTAGCCACTTTTCTTTCATAGTATTCTTAAAGATGGATTTATTACCTCGATATTCTTCAATTTCCTGTTGTGTCCATCGGCCGATTAAGTGAAGAATTTCATTTGGATCCGCTGCATATGTCGATATTATATGTTGACATTCTTGTTTATCGGCTTTGATTTGGGCTGTAATCTGTTTAGCCTTTTCTGTATATGTTTCAATCTCGGAGTGTATACCATACTCATCAGATGCTGGCACATGTAACCGGTTTCCATTAATGACCATCCTTTAAGAAGATAATATATCTCACGATCAACAAAAAATGGCCTGGGAGAAAAATTTCACATGAGCCGTGCAGGACACTCGTCTGCGCGACGAAATACCTTTCAGCAGAAAGGTCTGAAAAAGCCTCATGCGCTCATAAGGCCTGGTCAATTCTTTAGTGAGGAAAGAAAGCAGACCTACTCAGCAGCCAAAAATGAATTCTAAAACTTCTAAGGTAGTCCATATTCTAGCCCAAAAAAAACGACATAAAAAGGTAAAGTCGTGAAAGCTATAACTCGCAGGCGAGCTATAAAACATTTAACCACTCTCACTTTTATTCTGACGAGGGAACCTTCTCAGGTGTCCGAGCCCGATTTTCTTCATTCATATGCCGATCGATAGGTCATATGGAGGTATGAAAAAGCCCCAAAGAATTCGGGCGGAGTCGGCTTCCTTCAAAAGTTATTCAAGTTTTTCGTTTTTCTCCAGCGTAAAATCCAATATATTGAAAAATTCATAACTCAGTCAGTTTTTAAAGTTTTGTCTTGAAACTTTTACACCTAATACTCGACCTAGCCTAGCATTTATCCTGAAAGTTTCAGCTCTTAACTTCGTTTCATTTCCGAGAACCGGCTAGTCACCTATCATTAGAAAGGACTTGGTGCAAAGAGAAGAAAGGCATCTTTCCCTTATTTTTTTCTATCTCATACGAAACGAACGTAGCTAAAAGATAAAAGCAATCACGAAAATGATAAATCCGCATAATGTCACTCTATTACTGTCAAACTTCATTCGAAATCGACTACCTACAAACAAGCAGACGTATTCACATACACAGCGAGATGAGGACGTGGCCAAGCACCTCTTTCACAGCCTCGAAGCCATTCTGAACTGCTCTCACTACAGTTTCGAAAGCGAGAACACACTCGATTTCGATTCTGCCTTTGAGCAAGAAAGTGATGAGCATGAAAACGAGGATGATGAGGAAGACGATGACGAGAATTTTACCGGTGTTGACGACGAAATGGAAGATCGTTGTTTATTACAAGAATTCTCGCTTCAATACATGAAAAGGGCGGTGGATTACTATGATCAAACGAATCCCTCAACTGGTAAAAGAAGTCATTCATGGAAGTCCTTCCATAATACGTTCAAACGTGTGTCAGATCTAAACTACATTGCTCGTTTTCGAAAATATCTTGAATCAGGGGGAACGAAAAAACAAAAACTGAACGAGATAGACGATGCAACATTCGACTTTTTTCGCAACGCTCGAGAAAATCTTCTGTTCGTTCATGACATCGATCTTAAACGACAGGCGCTGAAGAAAGCACGAGAACTTGAGGACGATACTTTCGGTGCAAGTGACAGTTGGCTTCTGCGATTTAAGCATAGACACGGGATCTGCACTCGTCATGTCACAAAACTTGTGACCAAAAAGGAAACCGAGAATGTGGATAACATCAATCGTTCAGCCGATGAGTTTGTCGCCTCTGTTCAAAAAATCATTCCCGAGCTCAAGCCGGATAATATTCTCAATACAGACCAATCAGGGCTTCAGCTTGAAATGGTTTCTAATCGAACGCTTTCATTCCAAGGGGAGAAGCTCACTGTGGCAAAAGTTCGCAGTATTCATAATACAACTCATTCATATACCGTACAACCGTTGGTCTCACTCGAAGGCAACTGTGTTGGCCCGCTTTACCTTTGTTTGAAGGAGCCAACCGGTCACATGAGCGATTCGATCAAAAACGGTTTGTTTCAAGCGCAAAACGTCGTTGTCACGTGTTCAAAATCAGGGAAACTCACAACAAGTTTGGGTAAGTTAAAGTAAAATTTCTTTCCAATATCTAAATGTCTTTGTAAATATTTCAGTGGAATATTGGATTGACAAAGTGCTCCAACCCACTGTCAAAGACCGAAAATGCTTGTTATTGTCAGATTACTGGGGCGGTCAACGTGTATGATACAGCCATTGGATGGTAAGTTATCTCTTGAATCCTTCGAGATTATTTAACGTTATATTTTCTCTAAACAGTATACTGGAACCGTCAGTACAAATATATCATACGCCAAGTGTACAATCACGTTCGCTTGTATGACTTGGATGTCAATGTTGTTCAACGGAACAACGTGATCAAGTTGAACTCCTTGGCATATAATCAAATATGTTCTCCGAAGTTCGTTCCCATGACTCGTTATGCCTGGTACCAATCCGGTTATTTGAAGAGCAATCCAGGGCCATTTTCGAACGTCAAAGAGATATGTTTCTCCTTCGAAGCGAACAGATGCCACTCATCCAAATGTGCAAATAATCCGTTCATTCAGTGTGCCTATTGTGACAAAGTTCTATGCTTCACCGAATTTTTCGATGCCAACCATTTCCACTGACTATGACGATGCCCAACTGCAAGTACTAACTCGAGAATTAGGTGTAAAAGTTTCAAGACAAAACTTTAAAAACTGACTGAGTTATGAATTTTTCAATATATTGGATTTTACGCTGGAGAAAAACGAAAAACTTGAATAACTTTTGAAGGAAGCCGACTCCGCCCGAATTCTTTGGGGCTTTTTCATACCTCCATATGACCTATCGATCGGCATATGAATGAAGAAAATCGGGCTCGGACACCTGAGAAGGTTCCCTCGTGAGATCAAATGTCACTTATATGGCAAACCATAATTGAGAAATACATGAGAAATATGGTTCTTATGACAAGTAGAAAGGATTTAGAGAAAGAGAGGGTGTGTTAACAAAACTGCTGTGTACAAGTTTGATCTCAACTTCAAAGTGAGTCTGAGGTGAATGATTGACCCTGACTGCATTATGTTCCCGGAGAGAAAACCGGGTAAAACACGGTGAAATCAGTGATTCAGCTACCTTAGGACACACTTTCCTTAACTGACTCTTTTATATCAAAACTTCTTGTTTTTCACTTCTTTTTGTGACACATACGGACTGAATTAATCTGAGACAGAGATCTGTCTCAAAAGAAAACTTGTTCAAAAATCTGATTGTGTAGTACTATGACTAGCGAACTGAGACCTATTTAGATAAGAAAACAGACGGCTGAATTTACTGTGTACCAGAGCTCCGTATGGACTGGACTGAGTCCATAGTCCAGTCCAGTCCACGTGGGCTGGACTGGACTCGGATTTTTTGGATTTCATGGACTTGGGCTGGACTGGACTAGACTTTTTTAGTCCATGGACTGGACTGGACTCAAAAATTTGAGTCCATACGGAGCTCTGCTGTGTACATCCTGTGAATTTACTACCTGACTCTCTATTTATACTGATATTTCCTTTCCAGATAAAGATTATAACAAGATCAAAGCATTGTCTGCTCGCATTAAATTCGATCATGTTTCTCATAAGAATCTTACAAGAATCTTATAAAAATTTGATAAGAATAACGTACGAGTTCTGCTGACTCTTACCAATTTCTTATGAATTCTTGTGAGGTTCTTATAAGATTCAGCAGAATTCTTGTCACTTTCGTGGAAGATCTTATATAAGAATTGAGTAAGATTCTTATATAAGAACAAGTGACTAGGGTAGGGACGCAGCCAATCCCTACATCCTTTACGTTACCATTTCCCTATGTCACTAGGGAAAAAGCCATCAATAGTCTCTGTGGCTTAGTGCCTAGACACTGGACGTGGTTTAGTGACTCACTGTCATGCCCACTGTGACGATTAAGCGTGCAACGGTAGCGGTAGTTTACTGGTTTACCCTAGCCGCTACTACCGTTACCGTTCTACCGATACTGCCACTACTGTTCTACTGCCGTTGTCGATCCACAGGTTTTATCTTTCATTGCGGACAGATAGTATCGATTCTAGAGAGAGTGAAATTCTGTACAGCATATGACGATGTCGTTATTGCAACAGATTTTGATGCTTTATTCTACGTTTTATTTTTCTCTGCATTTTATTGGCTTAAGCAGTCTCAAATAAGAAGAAGAAATAATGGTTTTTATCGTTTTGTTTAATTTTGTTTGTACATAAACAGTGGATGAAACCTGAGCAACTCGCAAAATCTAATTTCGGCTTACTAAGGTTCACGAATTTTGATTCTTTCATGTGTCTGTGAGTTATTGAAGACTGAGTTAAGTTACATTTGCAACTGTGTGACTTTTTACAATAGGTTTTATCCGGAAAAGGTTACCTACGGTGACCGGTAAACGGTACGGGTAGTACCGGTAGAACGGTAGCGGTAGTACCGTTACCGACTTTACCGCTACCGTTGCATGCCTAGTGACGATTCTTTGTCACAACCTGTCTATTCAGTACGTACTTCTTTCGGTAGGGCTACTCTCTTTTGTTCCGTTCTGTTTCTTGTTTGTTTTTGTTCTTTCCTCGCTTTGTTCTTTTGTTGTTCTTATGTTTTGTACATGCAGTAGTAAATGTATATATTAGTGTTTTTCTTCTGTTAGTTTTAGTTTTTTGTAGTTTGTGATAAAGAGTAGTCGAATAAAAGAGTGATACTACATATCTTAACGCACGCATACAATCAACTCAAGGACTTATAATTAGAGGAAATATAAGTTTCTCACACTTGGCGATCTCGCCTTGTCGAAACTTCCGTTCTCCTGTGAAACTTTTTTTTTTTCTATCTTTTTGCTCTTGCTCTTATTATCTGGTAAGTCACATTGTTTTTTATCATGACTGAACGTCATACTTTATCCTCATCCAAAAGGTCCATCCAGGACCATCTTCAGACACTTTATGATAATCATTGTTCTCAGACGGTACATTTGGACGCTTTGGGTCTCAGAGAAATTGATCTTCTTCAGCGCACAATTCACTACTTACAGTTGAACCTAGGCGACACTTCCTTGGATACTCAAAACCAGTTGGACTGTGTAGTTCGAATATTCGAAGTTAATCTTCCTGCAATACGCCGGATCATGTATGATTATCTCTCCGTACCTGTGACTCCTCCTCCACTTGCTAGTTCATCGGTTTCCGACTCACTTATTGTCTGCCCCTCCCTCCTTAACTCTTCTTCTGACACTT